CTCACATACAGAAAAACACACTTTTGCTTTGTTTGTGATACATTAGATTCTAATATTCTGTATGTTTAAAAATTTTCCCAGTTTTAAAACTAAAATTTGTCTATCTTTTTATGTATTAAATATATGACAAAACTGATTTTACAATGTTCCTAAGCTGGGCTACATGGGAAAAGGGTATTTAACATACCTTTGTGTGTGGATGTCTGGAATTACTAACATTTTGCCATTAAAAAGATTGACAAATTTTAGTCGTTCAAAAATTTTCACAATCTTCGAAATTAGTGTTTTCTTACCATTACTGCTGGGTCCATAGGCAAACAAAATGTAGTACATTTGGTTGGTGCCAGAACTTCTTTGTGTTGAAATAGTATTCATGGATGTGAAGGTGCAGCTGAGTACCCCGTTCTGTGTTGATGCGATTACATTAGAAACGTTCCCCTGTTGGATGAAACACTTATTTAAATCCAGACATTTTCAGAGTTTTATACATAGTTTATATTTCAGTATTATTATCATCATCCGTATTAATTCATAATTGTAACCAAATGTCGACTAGAAAAAAATTTCGTTCTGTAAAAAAAAAAAAACCCAGATGTGTATAAAATACTGTTCCTTGATGCTGCTGCCTCAGTAGAAGTATTTGAAAAGCTAAAATTTCAGACTGTAAGCATCTGAAGCCTATATGACTATTTAGGAAGGAAATTTGTGTTTGTATAATTCTTTATTTTATTAATGTTTCTAGGCAAAAAGAAACAAGATTTTAATAGAATGCTTTTCATGCACACTAATAGAAAAATGCCTTACCAGAGGTAGAATTTGTGGAGCTGAGTGTCCTGTTGAGTAGGCATGTTGAACTGACACTGCTCCATTACCGTTTAGACCACAAATATAAATATCATCGTTTCCCTGAAAAATAAATAAATTAAACTTTAAACAGTATAGAAATATTTTATTTTCACTATATTACAATCTATGGCAAACTACAAACAGATATCAGAAACTGACAAAATGTCAGAATTGTTCGTGACAAATATTTGGTTTTCTGCATTCGTTGTGCCTCCCACAATCATCTTTTACCACGTTTACCCAAAAGGGTAATCATTAGCCAAAATTCACATCATCAGACATCCCTAATACAATTTCATTTATTACCTAAATGTTGGTGAAAAACATAAAACATTTGTTCTAAGTTGCAGAAGTTCCCTGCAAACGCCTTGAGACATTTTGGACACTCCCTTTATTTGGTGGTGTAAAAGTGACATGGTGAAAAAAAAGTAAAAGGTTTACAGAATATTAATCAAAATATAGATAAAAGTAATTAGTTATACAATCGTATTCATATCGCACTTTTATTCACATTACCATTTGTTGATCATCTGAGAATCCAAAAGCGACGTATCCATTAGAAGAACCTGTCAATTCATAAGTGAGGGCAGAACCAGAAGACATGGCCGACATGAAGAAGCAGTTAGAAGTGAGTGATGGATCACATCCTGATGGCTGACTGAAGCACACTTTGGTGGTGCCACAGTTTGCGCTGGAAATGCTATTCTGCAAAAATGACAACATAACATGTATACAGTCAGAACTTTACCCAACAGCAACTCCTAATGTATTATACAAAGAATAAACTAAAAACTTTATATTTACGTGTACTTCTTAAAACCTGAATGCCTAAACATGTTGACAGATTTGATGAGTGTAACATGCTGGTGAAGATTCCTCAAAAAAGGTCACACCTCTAACGGTAAATGGACTGAACTTATAGACAAGGTTGCACATACAATTTTTGGTCTGGTTCTCAGGAGAGAACCTAGGGTTGTTGCTTGGTGCTCATACTTTCCTTCACTCATTTAACACATTTATCTAGAGGGGCGTCAGGACATCTAACGTTCCCCTGTTCTGTTTTATGACWCCTATCAGCTGCAACGTCTCAGGACATTATGCCAAATCAGTCCAACAAGTTTTTATTTTATTCTTTTACTCTGCATAAATTTTGTAAACTACCTAAGTGGCCGAGGGGCTGGGTGTATGTCATATAAACATCACAAACTGAACATTTCATGGTTAAATGTCTTTTAGACCAACATGTCCCTCAGATGAACAACTCCTGTTTGGTCTTCTGGATCTTTGGCCTTGGTTAAACCAGCTTTCCACACTCCAGACCAAGCAGCAAATATATCTGTCTTTCACACAGAGCAAAATAGCTTAAAACATACAAATGTTTTATTTTTTAGACTGATTTCTTTTTTAAAAGACTATTTTATTCAAAAAGATAATATTTAGATGGTTTCAGCTCATGTAATAATTTATTCTTCATATTTGATCATTTAAATTACATTTATCCCAGAAAAGCTGTGTCACAGTATGGTCTTAAATATAAATAATGTTTAGCAAATCAAGAACCTTGTTTTTTGATAAAATTGTGAATGAAATTTGTGGATCTTGATGATAAATTAAAATAACCTTTAAAACTCATTCACCTAGAGAACATGACAAGTTGCTTTTATATATATTTTTAAATATATACAATTTTTTGACAGGGGTGTTGTTAAACAGAGAATCATCTTTGTTTTAATAGACTCAGCCTGCGCGCGCAGTGACGTACTCCCATCACAGCAGTTTCTCAGGAGGAGAGAGTTTAGTCCCTCACACAGAGTTGGACAGATCTGTTCGATAACAACATTCTGAACATATATTTAATATAAATTTAGGTTTTACAGACCAAAGTCTCTGGTAGTTCTGGAGCAAAGCGCAGGAGGAGATGTATGGACTGATCGCTGCAACCTCTGCTCGAGTCGAGTCGAGCCGCGCCGCTGCTTTAACCAAACCTGCTCTCACTGAAAGTCTTGCCCTGCTCTGCTCTGATTTGATAAAACGGCTCTGGACTTTGTTTGATTTCTTGAAGGCAGTGTCCGTTAATCCCTATATCAGGGTCCCGCTTCAGTCACACCAGTACGGCTGGATTTTTAAATTTTTTTAAAGAAATCAGGTTGCATTTGCGACCAAAGTGGTCACACTTCTAGAGCCCTGCTAGCTGTTGTTTTGACAGACAATCTCAGGTAAAATTTTAGGTACACAAGTGAGCTTCATGACATTACATCTGATGCGCTTTTTCCTTTTTTTGACCGTGCATGCGCACCTGCGCACCGCTTATGTGCAACTCTGCTTATAGAGCGCTTTATCAAGTCCCTCTGGACCCAAAAGCATTTTACACTTACAGACATTCACCCATTCACACACTGATGATAGTAAACTATATTGTAGCCATAGCTGCCCTGGGGCACACTGACAGAGGTGGGGCTGCCATACATCGGTGCCACCAGACCTTCTGACCAACATCAGTGGCAAGGCGGGTAAAAGTTCTTGCCCAAGGACACAACGAATGAGCTTGACTGTACAGGAGATCAAACTGGCGACCTTCCAGTTCCAGGACCTTGATGGCAAGCTGAGGAGTCTTACTAATTAAGCACTCCTTAGGTTCAGCTGTGTTGAACCAGGGCAGCTCCAAAAACATGCAGGACACCAGCCCTTCAGGACTGACTTTGGACACCAATGGAGTAAAGGAACATGAAAATTGCATACAAATTGCTGTCCCCAGTATTTTAACAGAGGAGAGGAGACAAGAGAAACGAGTGAGGCCAAGCAATTGCCATCACATGTAACTGTTTTTATTATTACATTTTAACAATTTAATAAGAAGTAAATTGCAAAAAAAAAAAAAAAAAGACACAGTAGCTATCTGTTTTGTCTGACAAATAGGATTTTTTTTGGCCTTGTCCCAAATAGATATGCATACTCACTGTAGTTTTAAAGCTGGTGGTTTGGGCAGGTACAGATCCAGAAGAACTGCTACTTGTAAGTGTCAGAACAGGACTTGTCAAGTCAACCCAGAAAGTCTGGAAATTCTTCACAAAGGTTGCACTGCAGAGACAAATATTTTTAGGAAGTGTCTAATACTCACTTGCACATAAAAATTAAAATGTAGAAAGTTTATTTTGGACTCACTGGAATTGAATGGATTTGACGTTCGTTGATGCGTCTGGTTTCCATGTCACCTGGATGCTAGTCTTTTGAGACTTTGATGTGTGCGATACAGCAGAGTTCTTCTCACACAAACAAATACACAAATGTTCACAGTTAGAGTGTATACATACATACAAATAAGTGATTTCCTAAAATGCCAACATACAAAAACATCAAGACATCTTACATAAATTAAACCTTTGAACAAGCATTAAAAAGTAGGAAAACATTTTTTTTCAGTTAAATTCAAAAAATGTATTCATTTCATTAAAAAATAACTATATACACACACACACAATATAAAAAGAAAATACACAAATCAAAATAAAATTAAAAGGTAGCAGAAGAAAAATAAATCTTATAATGTCTGCCCCTTTTATCCACAGAATTTATTCAAACAAAACATAATTTACAAAACAATACTAAATAAAAATAAAAACATAAACTCAAACAACAATTCGTATAGCTTCACATTTTACTTTTCTAATGACATAAGGGAAACATCTTCTCAATGAGAACTCACATTATGAACCGTGCACAACAAAAGCATCAATATATTGTTTGGGCAAAGAAAATTATTTTTAGAGTTTGGTTTTAAAATCATAACCAAAAACATAAATAACCTTACAATATTTTTTTACATAAAAGCAATACTGCACAAAAACATGGTTTGTGAAAACGCAGACCCGATGGTTTAAACTCATGGTTCTTAAACCTACCTTAGAAAATACTAAGATCTCCAAGTTTCATGACAGACATTAAAAACTGTCCTAATGTTGCAAAGTTTTCTTACAGAGGGTTTGAGTTGCTGGACCACAAAGACCAAACACAACAGGCATGTGTCAGAGATGCTGGCTGGAAAAAAAAACAAGATTGAAAAAACAGGACTCTAAGACCAGGTTTTAGAAGGAATAACCAACGTTTATTAACACAAGAAAAGTCTTCAGATCTTACTTGATGGCTGGAAAATGGAATGCAGGAGGATCAACAGGGGAAAGTCGAGGAGAGGACACAAGATGAAACAGCCAGGACAGGAGTGGAACTACACACAACAGCAGTGAGCAGACAGAGACAGGCTGTATACTGTGAGGGTTAATCGGCAAACCAGGAACACCTGGGGAGTGGGAAACGAGGCACAGGTGGAAGAGATGGACTAATGAGGAGGACACGGGCTGGGGAGAAACCATGCGGAGACACAGGAGCACCAACAGGTGAGTGAAGCACAAAGACAAAAACCACAGAATGTGGCAGAAAGTAGGACATTTTATTCTAAAATGACTGTATCTGGAGGAAATAAATTGTCTAGGAGTTAGTAATATTTAGGAGTGATAATTGAGTTGACAACTAGCTACTGGTATCAAGTGATGATAATTATTTTTAGGCTAAATGTTTTATTCACAAGAAGAGGCATGGTATTTTTGCTGCTGCTAACACTTGAGCAGGATGAATAAGAGGCTCATTACAGAAGGTAATTTCTAGAGTTGCCCCAATACAACTTTTTTACTTCCAATACAATAGCAATATTGCTGCCTTGATTATTTATATATTGGCAAGTCACATGAAATGTCATCTCAGTTAAATGTATATACACACACACACACAAATTTGCACAGCTATCCAATTGGGGACATTCCATTGACTTCCATTACATTTCTACAGCCTAACTCTGACCACAAACCCTAAGGCTAACCTCACAGGTACCTACCTGACCCTAAAACTAACCTAAACTCAATTCACACCTTGGTCCTAAACCCAACCCCCAACCCACCAACGGCATTTAAACCAAATGGGGATTCGATTTTTGTCCCCAAATGCATCAGTTGTCCAAAACTGTAGGTTTTTTGTCTTGAAATTGCCCCCAAATTGTCACCAAAGCCAACCCCCCCACCCACACGCACAAGAAAAAAACAAAAGGGTAAAGAATAAATCAAAACGTGATTTCTTTCAAACCTTTATCTTTACATTTTTTAATTCCTTAAATGCTTCACAAATTTACAGCTACAAGAAAAGAGATCCAGATCCTTTTTTTATGAAGGTGAAGAGGCAGAGCTTTCTAACCATATGAACTGTGATTATTTGGTGATAGCTTGTTTGTTGTCTTCCAAATTAGCAAACATAAAATTAATTACAGCCCAGTTGAGCATAATTTTTGACACTCAACCTCGAGTGCTAACAGATCACATGGATTTTACTCCACTCTGGAGATGTCCATGAGGTCATGGTGCTTAGTCAGAACAGGGGGTCTGACCTGTCTGGGTTAGGAGTGTAGTGCTCCATCAAGTGGCGTTCAGGTATCTCAAGGTTTGGTACACAAGGGGGAATAATAGAGTGTGAAGTATACTGACAGATCAGTGTGGCTTTCACAGTAATACTTACACTGTTATGGTGAAGTGGGGACTGAACTACTATGTAAAGGCTTTCTTGTTTACCAACCAGTTGAGGTACTTTAGGTATCTGGAAAGGATGACTCCTGAACACTACTCTAGGGAGGAGTTCTTGCCAGGGAACATATTGGAATCTTTGGAAGAGAAGACCCGGAAAAGGTGGCTGTGGAAAGAGATGTACCTGCTCAAGCTGTCTCCACTGTGACCCAACTCCAGAACCAGCAGCAGATAGTGAATAGGTGAAAGGATAGTTGTAGTGTTGCTATTTGTATTTCTTACCTTCTGTTGTAACTTTAACTATGAGTTTTATTTTTTTAACTGATCTGCTTTTTATTGTAGTCCTTTGGTAATACTAGGTGATTATTTCAGTATCAGAATAAAAGAAGCACCTTATCTAGAGAAATGGACATTCTTAATTATCAGCCATGATGAAAATTTACCATTTTAAGTAAATCTGACCGAATTGTTTGGTGTCTGCCAGAATACTTACTGATTTTTGGTTGCAGCTCAAGAGCTGAGCAGTACTTGTTGACACAACAAAAGAACCAACTGGAGTTGATCCACCTTGTTCTCTAGCCTCTAACAGGAAACCTTCAAATGGTGTGGAACCCTGGAGATTCACTTAAACAAAAACAAACAGAGGAAAATATTAAATCTCTTAGGTATCATACCCTACAGCAATATGTAAAAGCCCAAAGTTGTGGTATATTGGTTCATACATTTAAACAATACCTACTGTAGTGTAGCAGTATGGAAGTTACATACAGTATGTTGATAGGCTGACTGCAGCAGGTAAACTGACCAATCACCAGGAGGGGGCGATATAAATATATAAAATCTTCTTTTTGGTCTTTCTCATAAATCCCTTCATAAACTTCAACTGGTTCAGAACTCTTCAGCTCATATCATCACTAGAACCCCCTCCTACAGCCACATCACCCCTATTCTCTACAAGCTTGTCAAATTTCGAATTGAGTTCAAAATCTTCTGTACACATTTAAAGCCATTCACAATATTTCCCCACCATATCTGTCTGATCTCCTCCATGTTGCCACTTCTTCCCGCTCCCTTAGATCTGCCTCGTCTCTTCACCTCACTGTTCCTCTGGCCTCCTCACCACTATGGGGAACAGAGCCTTCAGCTGCTCTGCTGCCCAGACCCCGGCTCTGGAACTCACTGCCCTCTGAAATAAGGAACTTGGACTCGCTTCCTCTTTTTAAAGCCAGTTTAAAGACTCACCTCCTTCAGGATCGCTTACCACTGCTGATTTTAAGTTTAAGTTTTGTAGTTTGATTTTGTTAGTGTTTTGAAGAAGTATTTTTATGTGCAAACTTTATTCATTTTATGGTAAAGTAGCCTGTCATCTTGTGGTTGCCAGTGCTGTTGTGTGCAGTGAAGCAGCATTCTGGTGCACATTACAAGTAATAAATGTGTTGTGAGTCAATTATCTCCCCTCCTCCATGATGAGTGACTGTCATGAGGATTACCTTTTGTAATGAGGGTTTGTCTTCTCCCCTTACATAACATGATCAGCAGTAGTGGAATGGACAATCATGTCAGTCCAGCCAGATGCCCTGCTGCTTTGTTTTTTCTGGGTTTTATTGTTTCGCATGAGTTTTTTTTTATTTTTTTTTTTATTGGCCTTGTTTTTATTTCTTTTTGGTCCGCTTTTAGTTTTACTGTTTTATCATGAACCTATTTTTTAACCTATTGTATTCTGCTCCGTTTGATCTGAGTTGGCTGGCCTTGACTGGAGCTGGGCCTGTTGGTGCTCGGCTGGGACTGCCTCCATTTTCCATCTTCTGAATTTTTGTAGCCCTCTAGACAGCTCCAATCAGTCTACAAACTCTAAACTGTGTGTGAACTGTGAGGGCTGTTTTGTCCCTATTACATGAATCTATTTCTATGTCCCTTTGTGTGTTGTGGGTGACGGGCCCTTTACTGCTTGAAGAAATTTATAGTTATTACAGATTAGTACTGATGTTAGAAGCCTAACACTAGATTATTAGGGTTTCCTTTTTTAATGTTTGATCTATTATTAATCTATTATGTGTTAATTGATATAGAGTAGTTACATGTCCGAATCATAAACAACACATAAGTGAACCGTTGTGATGACATTAGGTTGAGTTTATTGGATGAATGCCTGTGATTCAGCAGTAGGTCAGTAGGGGGCGAACTCAGGCATTGAAGAATCATGTATAAAAAGATGTACTTCCTGGCTTTTGGCCAGTGTGGTTTTCCTTGTCAGCCCGGTGACAAATAAACCTCACTCAGGTTCCAGAATTCTGGTGTTGTATGATTTTCATTCCTACAACAAATCATTTTATTTAACAATGGTGTTTTCATCTTGACTTCAGTCGTATTGAACACGTATTTTTCTGACATCCTTGTGCTGTGAATTTATTTGTTTTTAACCACCAGTGTGTCTGGTTTAGCTGACTGTTAGCTGACTGACCACTAAGAAGCCTCAGCCTTGTTTTTACTTTATTTAACTTTTTTTTCTTTCCATTCGAATAATGGCCTCTTATTGTTTGTATTTTAACTGGACTTTATCTAAGACTTTAATAAATGTCATATTATATTGTGGAACACCCTCTCTTGCTTTTGTATATTGAGCCTATAAGTGTCTGAGCGTTTTAATTATTCCTGGTGTGATAGTACTGAGGTGGCATTGTCTAAACCTAAAAACTTATAAAACAAAAATATCTATAAATTTCTAACACCAGAAAACAGGCACACCAGGAAAGCAACAATAATTTGTCAACAACAGGACTTTACAAGGTGAAAATTAATTACACATTTTGGTTTGTGAAGGAAAGTATGTTTATTTATTAGGAAAAGGTTCATCCAAATGGAAATTACTCTGTCTACATCGTGTTTTAATCTCAATAAAATACCAATTTGCATTAATCCGAGTCATCACTTTGTTGATCATTTTAATAAAAAGCCTCTTCGTTGTAGTGTCATTTATGATGATTTCTAATTTTGTTCAACACAGCAAGGTTAAAATGACAAAGTTCAAACCTCGACCCACTGATGGAATTTCATTGTTACACTTCTAGGAATTAGAAGAAAGGGGATTTTTACATTTCACTGCACAAATTTCATACATCACTCCATAATGTGTGAGGAAAAAAAAAAAAGAACTCCACAATTTGTATGCCTCAAAATACAAGTAGGTGGACAAACTGGATCATTATGAGAAGGGGTTAGGTAAAGAAAAACGTTGCTGCAATAGCAACAAGAGAGGGGTGTTGTAAACTGATAGGTTTGCTGAACAATCTGAAACTTGTCTGTCAGAGCAGCTTTAAGTTTAGCAACTGAGCTAATTCCAGCTCATTAATGTTGCTTTATAATGTAGCAATGCTGATTAATGCAGTTCCCATAAATAAATTAATAAATGTAATGATTTTTATACTTGAACAAAACATTTTAACTTTGAATGTTTGAACTGTTGAACTTTGAAATGTTTGAACAACTTTGAACTTATCCTACAGTAATCTGGAAACAACTTTAATAACTAAATCAATTCTCAGATATGAAGCAAAATCGGGAAGACACAAATCTAACCACGGTTGTACAAACTGTGACTTGAAATTTTCCACTGCCACACTGGACACGGTCTACTAATATAAGCCAATGACATCGGATGTGTTGAAACTTAGGCTTTGTTTAGCTTGTCACCCAAAATGTAAACAGAAGACAGCAAAATTCCTACAACCAAAGAAAACACAAAAAGTAAGAGATATCCACAAAGTAGAAGGAAAAACATGTAAATTTGTTGAAACTGGTAAGTTATTTTTTATACAAATGATGTAAATTTAAAATTGAATAGTTTCAAGAGATAAGGGCAGGGCTCTAAAGGTCTGAAGGCCCTGTCACACTTAAGTTTTGGACAACTTATGCCAACTTAAAAAAAAGACTAAATAATTACGACTAAAGTTATATTTTTGATCAATTTGTTAGCATTACAGTATGTACACTCTTAAAAAGGACTTCCAGTTGATTTTGTAAATTCCATCTTTGATGTAGATGTCTCCAAAATTTTCATACGTTTTCTAAAATATTTTAGTGTGACAGGGGCTTGAGTTTGGCTTTCTCTAAAAACCACTAAATAGCGTCATCACTTGATTTGCATATTTGCAAATATTATCTAAGCTGTGGGATATATATATATACTGTATATATCAATGCTGAAGAGAAAAAAGTGCATGAAAACAATATGTTTACTACAAATCAACAAATAATCTCATGACTTTAAAACTTTGTTTAGATCCAGATTACATAAATCAGTTTGGTGAGAACATTAAACTGAAATAACAGCCAGTTATATTTCACAGAAGCTCACAAGAAGTGACCAAAACGAGGAGTAAAATGCAGGCGAATTCAGGGATTTATTTTAATGAGACCTTTTCAGAAAACAAACATTACAGTAAAAATTACATCCTGTGGGCCAGGGTGGGAACAGCAGTCTCCTCTAGGCTGGTAGTAGCTGAGAGTACTTAATATAAGAGGTAACATCATGTGAGGTCTGTGTTTTAAATTTTGACATGCAAACCCTGTTTTAAAAATAGCCGGGTTATTCCTTTATTTAACATTGCTCTGAGACTCCAGCTGCTCGAGTCGTTTGCATGTGATATTCAATAAGAAAATGTTTTAATGGAAACTTCAATTATTTCTTGTAAAACAAAACCTGGGATCACAAGACACAATAAAACATTTACATTCAAGCAGACAGACATAAATATTCTTTAAACAAAAAGTGTCCTTTCTAAGGCGTCAGCCTTTAAAATAAACACATACTGTAAAAGTGTGTTCCAGCAGGTTGGGTTGTGATATAAGCATGGATTACTTCCTGTAGGTTAGATCTAGCCCACACTCATATATGTCAAGTTGTATAGATTGTTTATAAATTATACAGATTTTTCCCCATTTTGCAGGTATTTGGACATACTGTATAGGGCAATCTCATGGATTTTTCAAATCTCAGATTTTTTGAAAACAACAGCTTGAAATTTATTTTACGTCTCAGAGGCTGTTAGTTGTAAACACTCGCCCCATCATCTCCCGCTCTGCTGCTGAAAAAAAGCTCCCCTCTCCCTGCTCCAGTGCTGCAGGTGCTGTTATCTCCACCCCACATTCTGCCTGTTCCCGCGGCTTACGATCCGCTTTCAAACCCCTCCCACGCTTGTAGTACTAAAGATTTTTTGACAAAAATGACAGATTTTTGAGAGTCAAGGTACAGCTAAACATCGAAGGGCTTAACATGTGTTCACACTGGCTAAAGTTTAGCTATCTGCTTTAACAGGAAAATGTTTTTTTCTAGAACAGAGTTTTATCTGCTGCCTAATCCTAAAGTCAGAAACAAGCAAACACAAAAAATAAAATACCAAAGATAGATATAATTTTTTTAGTACATTTCCTGTAGACAAAATTGTTTTTATGTCAGGTGGAGAGATTTCACCCTGATCAAAGCAGGAGAAAGAACACAAACACAAGGTGCTGCATTTAGTCTCTAGTTTATTGTCAGAATCAAAGTTCCTGCATAGATCAACAGTTACACATCATCCACACTTTATCATCATGTTAAATCTGAGTCAAGCTGCCCCCTAGTCACAGGAACATTTTGTCCATCCATCCATTTTCTGTACACACTTCTTTCTTTTCAGGGTTGTGTGGGTCACTGGTGCCCATATCCAGCAGTCACAGTGCGAGGGGCGGGGTACACCCTGGACAGGTCGCAAGTCCATCACAGGGCCACACATAGAGACAAACGAGACAAACAACCATTCACTCTCTCACCTAGGGACAATTTAGAGTTATCAACTAACCTAACAGTCATGTTTTTGGTCTGTGGGAGGAAGCCCAGAGAGAACCCACGCATGCACGGACAGAACATGCAAACTCTACCCAGAAAGGTCCCCAGACTGGGATTTGAACCAGTGACCTTCTTGCTAAGAGGCATCAGCTCTACCAACTGAGCCACCATGCCGCCTTAAAGTTGCATTAGGCGGGTTTTGAACCCTGATCTCCCACATGAAAGTCCATGACATACACCATTAAACCAATGGTGTTGTCATTTTGTCCATGTTTAGTAATTTAAAGTTTTAGTCAGGGTCAACTCTGAGTTTCTATCTGGTTCTCTTTTTTCCTGTCTGTGAAGGTCGACTTCCCTTCAACTTCCCCTTGTTTCTTATAGAATCTATGTGTGTTTGTTTAGATTGTTTGTCCTTTTTTTTTTTTCATCTTTTGCACTCAATGTGCTGCATAAACAAGACAACTCTTGCTGAGGAAAATGCCATAAGTACAATATATTAATATTTAAAGTATTTAACATGGTGGACTTAAGGGCTGGTATCATTTAGTTTGTGTGAGTACAGCTTTTTGAGGGGGAGTAAAAACGTTTATTTTCATTTTCCTTTTAAGGCTTTTCAGACTTTAGATGCCATCCCCAGACACAATCCATCAAACATGCCTTCATTACTCAGTGACATACCTTTGACTTCACCTCCAAGTGCGTAGCTGTTTTGATCCGTAGTAACTGTGTAAGGTGCCGATCCTGTCTGCGAGTTCAGCCCATGTGACGGCTGCAGGTTAGAGCAACTGCCTGTAACAAGACCTGACGCGTAGCCCCAAACTCCTGGGACAACTAATATCAGCAGAAACAGTTGAAGCTCCATTGAAGACAAAAAAAAAATTTTTCAAACTGATGCCGCTCAGAGTTGGTGAACACTGGAGATGATGGGGAGCCTCTGCTCAGCTGAATAAAAGCTTCATATTGCCACTCCTCTTTTTTTTTTTTTTTTTGCTTAGCAACAAACAAAGGAGGTGCCCTTGTTGTAATGAGAGATGAGCAGGTGACTGACACTTGCTGAGTCAATTCCACTTCATGTAAAAACAACTTAGAGCTGAGAGGAAATTCCGGAGTTGGAATGCATGTGTATGAGAAGACAGTTAACGAGAGTAGAAGAAGAACCAACGCTTAAATAAATGGGTGATCAAATCCATGTCACGTTTATTTTTCAAAACTTATATTTACTGATGGCTATCGTTTTATGGATTATTTATAAAACAGGGAAATAATGAATACCAACAAACAATGAGATACTGAGAAAACAGTTTATTTAAAATGCTGATTCATCTCTTTCTTTGTGTGCTGTGAAAAAGCAGAAATGTGTCCATATTTGGGTTTGGTATTATTGAGTTCATAAAAACTGAAAACCATCCTCTTTGTTTGAATTTCTTTGTGTAAAAGAGTTAGATAAAAAATAATATATGTTTAAAATATAAATACTGCCTGATTTTACCCTAGTAAACTGTTTTATTGAAGAAAAGCCTCTTCATTGTACATTTGTGATGATTTACATATTAATTCAACAACACCTCTACGGAAGACCGAAACTATGGGATAAATCTTGTACCAGCAGGAATTGAATTTGAATAGCTCAGATTGAATCTGAATGTGCATAATTTGAAATTAATGCATTGGTTTGAAAATAAATTTCACTAAATTCAAACTGAATTTAATGATTTGAAACTGAATTGAAAGTTTTGAATTTGAATTAATTTGCCTTGAAACTGTATTTTGGTTTATTAAAAATTCAGTTTGACTACTTTCACTTTCAGTTCCAAAATTCAGATTTTTGTTTCACACATCCTGGTCCTTGAGAAAGCCAGCCAGAGTAATCAAACACAGATCCACAGATTTATGTTTCACTTTGGTGAAGCTTCCCTTCTGTATGTAACAGAATTGATGCAATCCACCATTTTAAGTTTCACAAGGAATATGTTGGATTTATCAACACCTGCTCAAGAAAGGCTACACAGTTTAACTCGATGGGGATACTCGTGCACCAGAGGGGAGAACCTGGCATCTGCCTCATCATGGGGTTAGACATCCAACTAAACAAAAACTGCAAGTTGTCTTCAACTGCGGAGCAAGCATTCAAGGAACAGTGCCGAACCAACAACTTCTGTAGGGACCAGACCTTACAAGCTCTCTGGCTGGCATCCTCATGAGGTTCTGTCAAGAGCCGGTGGCGATCATAGCTGATGTTGAGGCCATGTTCCAACAAGTCAGAGTCCACAGTGAGGACACAGACTTCCTTCGGTTTCTTTGGTGGCCTGAGGGAAACTACAATCTAGATCTTGTTTAGCACAAAATGTTGGTGCACCTTTTTTGGTGCTACGTCCTCACTAAGTGTTGCTACCTACACACTTCAAAGATGCGCTACAGATTTTACTGAAGGGTTTTCTCATGAAACAGTCAAGAAAAACTTTTTTGTATATGACTGTCTTAAGTCGATTTCTGATGAAGAAACAGCCATCTTGCTGTGTGCCGAGTTAAGAAGTATGTTAGGAAAAGGAGGATTTCGACTAACCAAATGGTCGAGTAACAGCAGGAAGGTGCTCAGTCCCATTCCAGAAGAGGAAAAGGCACCAGGATTTAAAAATCTGGATTTGGACCTAGACCATCTTCCGATGGAAAGGACTTTGGTCCAGTGGTGCACCAAATCAGATCAGTTCAGGTTCAAGATCAACCCCAAAGATCGACCACACACTAGGAGAGGTCTGCTTTCCTTGGTCAGCTCCATTTTTGACCCTTTGGGATTTCTTGCTCCAGTAATACTTCTAGCAAAAAGAATTCTACAGGAATTATTTTGGCACAAGTATGGCTGGGACGAAGAGCTACCAAACAACATTGTAAAAAATCTAGAAGAGCTGGAGTTCAAGTTTGTCTCAGCTTGAGAAGTTTGAAATCGATTGATGTATTAATTCGAAGCAGCTTAAGTGCCAGTCTACGCACAGCTTCGCCACTTTGCTGATGCGAGCGAAGATGCTTATGGAACAGCAAGCTACCTGCTGCTGCGAACTGAAACTGGTGAAACTCAATGCAACTTGATCATGGCTAAGACGAGGGTCGCACCTTTAAAGTCACCTACCATTCCAAGAATGGAATTGACAGCTGCCACAGTTGCAACAAAGATGGACACACTGCTAAGAAAGGAGCTGGAGCTGAAGCTCGCTAAATCGGTCTTTTGGACTGACAGCACTGCTATGCTGAAGTACCTTAACAGCAAAGGCACAAGATTCAAAACTTTTGTCTCAAACAGGATCTCAGCCATCCTGGAATGCTCTAAGATGTTTCAATGGAGATACATCAACACCCATCTGAACCCAGCTGATTATGTCTTGAGAGGACAAACTGTGGAGGAGTTTTTGCAGAACAAGATTTGGTTATCTGGACCCAGTTTCTTACTTTGTTCACACGACCAATGGCTCAAAAATCCAGACCCTGGGATGCTGGATAACAATGACCCAGAGATCAAAAGAACGACTCAAGTGCACATCATTCATGCACAAGAATCAAAGGACGTCCTGGATCTGTTGATGAGCCATTATTCTTCTTGGACAAAGCTGAAACGTGCTGCGGCTTGGTTCTTAAAACTGAAAAGGTTGCTAAAGGATCTTAAAGATAGGAGGAAGGAGTTGAAAGCTTCTGGTGATGAAAAGGATATGGCCAGGTTCAAGAAGACCTTCAAAGGAAGGAATCTGACATGTGATGACTTGGTTGAGGCAGAAACAGAGATCATTAAGTATTGTCAAAGGCAAAGTTTCAAAGAAGATTTGGCTATGCTGCAAGAACATCGGAGGGTAAAGAAAAGTAGCTCACTCTTTAAGCTAAATCCAGTGCTAAAAGAGGGAGTCATGAGAGTTGGTGGGAGACTGATGATGAGTCTTAGCAGCAAGTTATCCTACCTAAGGACTCATACGTCACAAAGCTCGTGTTGAGCCACATTCACAAGAAGTGATTCCGTCCTGCTCATGCAGGACTGTAGCTTTCCAAAGTCATCTCACTTTCCCGGATCCGATGCTCAGAGTCCACGGGAAAAGCAAACAAAGATTGATATTTCCTCCCGAAAATGCGTATAAAAGTCATGTGTAATTCGCCTATATCTCCGCGGGGGAACAATACAGAGACTCCATTCAAGTATCCGCTTGTAGGGAAGAACCAGAGCTTTAAAACTCGACCAGCCACGCTGGGATCCGATGCTCCTAGCCCGGGAAGGGGCCTAAAACCACCCCGGCGGGAGGTCTGACGGTGCGTATTTTGGAGGTTTTTTGCTTATATCTCCGCGGGGGCACGTCGCAGGGACTTCATTCAACTTTCACCTTGTAGAGCAGAACCAGAGCCTTCAAACAAGACCAACCAATCTGGGATCCGATGCTTAGAGCCGGCGCTAGAGGCTCTGAAGCAAGGTCTCGCTTCGCGGGCACCTGGGAACCAGCTGACGGGTGACCAGTCGCCCACGAGCAACTGGTTGGGCACCCCTGGTCTAAACAGTTTGTTGTGTCCAGGTGTTCCCTTCTTTTGATAATTTTCAACTTCCTCCTCAGGATTACTCAGGTGAATGTTCTACATGATCTGAACCTGTCTCTTACCTTCCCTGGAGTTAGCAGACAAAAAATGATTTTGTCTCCAGTAGTCCTGGACATTTGATTTTGACCTCACCCGGACAGAGCGGGTCTGCAATGCCACCACCACCTCCTCCTCCTCTTCACGGAAAAAAACTGAAAGGTCATCTACCTACAGATGTAAATTAGCTTGTATAATCTTGTGCAGTGCCACTCTACTCTGAATATTTTACTGTATAATACAGTACAATGCTAAATAAACAAACAAAGAAAAAAAGAAACCTCATCATCAAAATCAAACTCCGACGTGTCTGATTCATCTCCGTGCACGCCACCATCCTCCTCCTCCTCCTCCTCCTTTCCAAGCTCATAAAAGTACGCCACAGCTTGATTGGCTGCCATATAACGACGATTCATGTTGACAGACAGACTAACAAAACTACTACACACTGCACATAAACTCTCGCACTCTAACACACTTACACAAGCAAACCAAAAACAGTGCTAGCTAAATCCGGTATCTAAAATGTCCACTACGCTCAGTCCTCTTCGTCACTCCAAAACTCTTTCCTCCCGGCTCCCGCTTGCTTTCCTCAAGTTTTTTTCTGAGAAATGTTTTTGATTGGCTGCTTTGGAAATGTGGTGCGTTTAATAAAATCTGAAAAATTGGTGTCAGGGTTAGCCTCCTTCACAGCGACATACCAATCCAATAATTTTAAACTTCAGTAGAGGCCATGCCTCCAGCAAGAATCGCTTCTCTATAGCCGCGAGTCCAGACCCTCGTACGAAACAAAGTGAAGGACAAGGGTTTGGTTTTTACCAGGCTAGTGGAGAGAAGCTAAAACTYGAGAAATATGATCTCTCCTTCCAGCTCTCATTAGAACTCTAGCAACAGCATTTCGGATCAACTGAATTTTGTGGACATCCTGATAATAAAGAATTGCCTCCATCCTAGACTTGGTGAATGAATGGATCAGTTTCATCATTACTTTTGGACGAGATGTTTCTGATTTTAGTGATATTACACAGGTGGAAGGAGGCAGTCTTGGTGACATTTTTAGTTTGGGGGTTAAATGACATCCTGATCAAAAATAACACCAAGGTTCTTTACATTAGAACTGGAGGCCAGATTAATGCCATCCAGGGGAAGTGAAACGCTGCAAAGTTTATTCCTAAGATGTTCAAGTCCAGAAACCATAACCTCTGTCTTATCTGAGTTTAGAAGCAGAAAATTAAGAGTCATCCAGGATTTTATGTCTTTGAGACATGATTGTAATTTAAGTCAGGGGTTTTCAAGCCATTTGGGTCTGGGGACCCCTTACAAGGGACAAAAAAAATTCCAGGGACCCCCTCATAAACTCCATACTGTTTTAAAAGATAATTTATTGTAATTTCAACCCCTAATTGCCATGGCAATATATATATTTTTATTATGTTTACTATGTTATTTTATTAGTTCATTGTTCTCCATGCATTATTAAAAATAAAAACCAAATTAACAATTTAGTGAAATTTTCTGAGGACCCCCAAGATACCTCTCATGGACCCCAGTTTGAGAACCTATGGTTTAAGTAACTGATTAGCTTCGTCAGGTTTCATGGATAAATATAACTGAGTATCATCAGTATAACAATGGAAATTTATCCCATGCTGTTCAATAACTTTGCCTAATGGAAACATATATTATCATGGTTTAGCAAATTGTCAAGAATGTGCAACCAGAAAGTAATCAGACACAGGAGACTAGAAATACAAAAATGGTGAATGTTTATTTACAAGTGAAGGGGAAAAGGGTAGGTCCAGGGTTTCACTGTTGATGACAGGAAGGGGTTGAATTAGTTGCAGGTTGAGTAGTTTGAGAATAAGAATTATTTTGATGTTTGTTTTGCAGCTTACGGTTTGGAGAAGAACACGAGGAATGGATGAGAGGGAAGTCCAGGAGTGCACGGTGAGTCAGGTGAGTATTTACAGATGATGATTGTTTCAGGCTCTTGGAGGAGATGGTCGGCATTTGATGTAGGCAGGCAGGCGTATGAGCAGAGG